AGGAGATCAGGCAGACTCCCTGCGGAGAGCCAAGGGAGCAACACCTCGCTCCGAGGAGCTGCTGCACTCCAACATCTTATTCAGTAAAGGAGTCAAGACATCTTGGTTGTCTACCTTAAACCCTAAGCTCTCCATCTACCAAACTCTTGTAAGGCCCAACGTTTGGGCTCTTACACACACACATACTTACACACACACACACACACACACACACACACACACACACACACACACACACACACACACACACACATATATATATATATATATATATATATATATATATATATATATATATATATATATATATACATAATAGATGCACACAAATATATATATATATATATACATACATACATACATATACATATATATGTTATACATATATGTATGTGTGTTTGTTTTGTGTGTGCGTGTGTGTGTGTGTGTGCGTATGTGTGTTTTTTTTACGCGCGCGCGTGTGTGTGTGTATTTACCTGTGTGTTTACGTGTGTGTTTGTGTGTGTGTGCGTGTGTTTGTGTGTGTGTGTGTTTGTTTCTGTGTGTGTGTGTGTGTGTGTGTGTGTGTGTGTGTGTGTGTGTGTGTGTGTGTGTGTGTGTGTGTGTGTGTGTGTGGTGTGTGTATTTGTGTTTGTGTGTATGTGTGTGTGTGTGTGTGTGTGTGTGTGTGTGTGTGTGTGTGTTGTGTGTGTGTGTGTGTGTGTGTGTGTGTGTGTGTGTGTGTGTGTGTGTGTGTGTGTGTGTGTGTGTGTGTGTGTGTGTGTGTATGTGTGTATGTGTGAGTGTATGAATGTATGTGTGCGTATGTGTGTGTGCATGTACCGGATGGTGCCTCTATTTCATAACCATGGAGCTTTATTGACGCATATAAGCTTGTCGAGCGCCAATTTGCGTCACACGGCAAAAAGAACGACGCACGTAATCCCTTGAAGCATCTGGTAGAAAGGGAGTAAAAAGACTACGTTCTGAAAATAAACAATTTCGTAATAAGTTATTCAGTGTCTTTTGATATCAATTATGCATGATTTTTTTTATTTAGGAATTATTTTCTTCAAGTAGCTAGTAGTCTATTATCTCCGTTTAGGTGAATGTTTTCCTTAACAAATGCGTCCAGTGTTTTGGAGGAGATGAGGAAGTATAGTCAGAGAACCATGACCGAATTTCATTGATTTGTGGTGAGTTACAGGGCTGATATCGGGGATAGTTTGGTCTTGTTGTCTTTGCAAGGTGATATTTCATCAAGTAAAGTGAGATGAGGTAAAATGAGAGAATTTGGAGGTAGATTTAGCCTTTAAACGCACTCCATCTCCGAGTTACCCGAGAGAAAAGCTTTCAGACATTCTCTGCTTTGTCGTTTGATATTTGTTTGTGGGGGTTTGTCTGCGATGCGCTAGAGCACCTCGTCCATTATATAAGCTGGCCGTGGCAGTGCTCTGAGAGCGATAAGGGCGTGAAATTGCGAAGAGGAAAAGTGTGGAGGAAGGAATGAGGAACTTGCTTTGTTGAGGCCAGGGTCAGGCAGCCCAAGGTAACGCCTCGTCAGTGCCGTCGTGCCCGATGTCACGGCTCTCGCAGGGCTCTCAGTTGATTCACGTAGCTCTTGGTGCCAGCTGGACCTGCACAACTACCATGTAGCATTTGTGGAATGTTGAGAGAAACAGTGATTTGTGGGGACTTTACTTGCCTCCAGTCCTGATTTTGCTTTTAGAAATCAGTGCTGGTCATGTGGGTATGTGTGAGTATGATCAAAGCCTAGAGCCACCATATCATCCCCTGCCTAAAAGCTGTTTCCACTGTGAACACCATGACCACAGCAACTTACCTCTGCCACTGTTACAACCACCACCAAAACAATACAAATACAATATGTAGACCACCACCTCTGCTGTTTCTCATTTACTTAGTCTGTAATGCAGCAGTCTTTTTAGGTATTTTGATTTGGTTATGACTGGAGAGATGATTTTTTTTATTGTGCAATCTAGTCATTTAGGTTAATCTTTATGGTATCGATGCACTAAGGTAGGCCTAGGGGAAATTTAAGGTTTGGTATTTATTACTGTGAGTGAAGCACAGCAACAGGGGGCAATGTTATCATAGAGAGTATAAAAAATATAGCAAAAAAAAACTTAGAGCTTTAGTGGCCTTATATTTACCTCAAAATAACAATAATGTTTGCTGAATATCACCACTCAGAGACTAAGTCCACAACACTTTCACACAGCCAGAGCTCTTAATGTCCATTTTCTATAAGTTAGCATGAATTGCAAATAAATGGGGGTACAGGCAGGCTTCCTCTCCCTCTCTGGGGAATAAATTGAAGGTAGGAAAGGTTAGGTTTTTTTTGGGTTTGTATGATACCCTGGTTTGGGATTTAGTCTCAGGAGGGTGCATCGGTCACGGTAACAGTTGCTGAAGATTATATTTTTAGAGGTCAAAAAGTTGTAGTCATTGGTACAAGAAACAGTCTGCAGACCTGAATGATAATGCTATAAATAAAGGA